CCCATGCAGATATAAGAGCACACCGTAGGCTCAGCTCACAATGTAAAGCGAGGGGGTGCAGATGCTTCTCTTCAATAAAAAGTGACAGTTAGCTTCCATAGAGTCCAATGAGATGTAAAAATGACAGTCACATGACCGGATGTAAAGATACTCATCTTTGTGAGCTGAGCTGATGTCTTTATTTAGGGCAGATTCGGAGTGTTGGGGGTGCATTTCCGCACCCTACCATTTCATAAATAACAAATCAACTTCAGCTGCTGTACTCACTGGAATAGAACATAACAAATCATTGAATGCAGTTAGTTCAGGCAATGGAATCAGCCTCATGTATTTCCCTTCAAAGTAGAAATGATTCCATCCACAGGGGATCATACTAGAAGCCAATAAGGCCCTGCTGCAAGCCCATGAGCTGACAAGGAGCATGCTGACAGGAGGAGAGAGTAGAGGGAGGACTCATTCATGTAGCATTGTTCTTTCATTGGCCAATCACAGGCTGGGGGCGGAGAGCTGACTAAGCTTCACTGCAAACCTGCACTAGAGAAAAGTGAGGTCACCGAGCTCACCTATAGGTAGGTAAGAGCAAGTAACAGTGTCTCCTTAGGGCCTGGCAGAACTTTTAACCCTATCCAAAATATTTCTATCTCCCTCTCTCTCTATCTATGGGCTGGATCCCCACTTTGAAGAAGACCTTTTTAAAGGAGGCCACTAGTTACAACACATTTCTAGGGATGCGCCGATACCAGTGCTTCAGCTGGCATGGAGCTGGCTTCCCGGGCAATGTGATTGCCCAAGAAGTCTGTTGTGGAAATTTTATTAGGATGTGTTTTTAGTGTATTGTAATGTTTTGTCATTAGTCTCTCAGTGTCTCAGTAAATAGACGCTGGGGGATTAATCCATTGGAGGAGATTTCTTATGCGCAGCGGAGCAGTGTGTTCTTGGCGAATGTATGGACGCCGGCTGGGGCCCCCCGTGCAATGCATGGATTTATTGGCTTGCGTGGATACATTTGTCTTGAACGCAGTATATGAAAGGAACGTGCGTTTGTTCTAACTGGGGTGCCTGATCAACACGCCTGAGATGATATAACGTTGTCCCTGTGAATGAGCGCGCATGAGAATCCTAGTAACGTTATGTGGCATTGCTCACTGAGCCACGCTGGATAAAGTCACTCCGGTGGTCATTGATTGTTACTACATGTGATTTGTTAGCTGACTCCTGTTCAGCATCACTTCCTGTCTCGCTGTTTGAGACACCCCTTCCTGTCTGACATCACTTCCTGTTGGGCAGGTATAAACAATAAACATACCTGCGCTCAGGTCTCTTAGCATGGGATTATCGAGCAAGCAACATCTGTCTCCTGACTCTACATGACTCTATAGAAGGGAGATACTTCCAGTCCTTGCATAAAGGAGCGTAGTACAACGGGGGAAATTCTTTGCGTTTGGCGCAGCTTAATGCGACATGGATTTGTGCGCTGAACCAAGTGAATTTCCATAACAAGTCGGCTTCATGTTGTCTGGCTGTCTTGAATGTGCTTGGACGGGAAACAGGCTTCGCAGCCAATCAGCATGAAGCCGGCCTCCCGGCCAATCGGGAAGCCAGGTGGCGAGTAATGACCCTCCTCCCAGCTTCCTGAATGGCCGGGAAGCCGGCTCGATGCTGATTGGCTAGAAAGCCAGCTTTCCAGCCAATCAGCAAGAAGCGGGCTGTTCGGCTGGCTTCCCGGCCAATCAGGAAGCCGGGAGGCTGGTCATTACTCTCCGCCCAGCTTCCTGATCGCTTTGGAAGCTGGCTCCATGTTCCCCTTCCTCGGACCGGAAGTTCCAGTATCGGGGAAGGTATTGGAGCATTTGGGCAGGTACGAGTAGTCGCCCAAATACTCGGTATCGGTACCAACACTAGTATCGGTATCGGTACATCCCTACAAATTTCCGCTGGCCACATATGAAACCTCCAAAACACTTTCTCGGCCCTCGTACCTCTAACAGTTCCACGAGGAAATATTATTAGGAATGAGGACCTGTGACTATGGCGGCTCCCCCTCCCCAGCGCGGTTTCAGGCAATGCTCTTCTCACACCCTGTAAGTGCTCCCCGGTGCCCACAGAGCTCACAGGAGTGTTGCAGTTGGCCACGCTGACAGTGAGGAAGATAAATAAGTTGGGAAATTGCTGTAGAAAACATTAGGACGTCTCTGGATCAGTGAGAGTGATTTATAGGAAGGTTACTCTGACCTGGGCAGCGTTCCCAAACTGCAGTGTAATCCGCTCCACGGACGGACACATAATACCGCCGGAGCTCCCCATCCCCAGACAAGGTGAATTCCTCCGCTGCCAGTTGCTGCAGCTCAGCCTGAAGCCTCCAACTTTCCGTCACCGACAAGCCGCATCCAGACCTGAGCTGGGAGCACCGAACCAATCTATCCCATGTGATGACATTGTATGCCCGTGAGCGGAAGATATAAAAGTGACGCAGCTCATTATATGTCATTTTAAATGCAATCACGTAACTATGACCGGGCATCAGCCTCTTGCAGTCCCTGTACAGCAGAGCTGGAGTGTGAGAGGAAAAAGCAGCACAAGGAGCCAATCGGTTGCTGATAGAATGAGAGGGCAGATAGATGAGTTAATCAGTGCGCTGCTTCTCTTATCAATGTCCAGTCACAGGCTGGGGGCGGGTCCAGGTCAACCTGTGCTCAGAGGAAGTGGATAAAATGATGCTGGCTGAGGACATCTAGTGGCAGCAAAAGGCACTGCTGAGAAATCTATAGACTGAAGATTAACATTACAGCAACAGCTGGTAATTCATGAAGGGGTGCATTGCTTCTCATTACACTGAGCCTGTAACAGGCAGAGCCGCCCACTTTTCAGCATGGGCCCTGGCATGGCTTCCCTAATATCTCCATAACAGAAGCAGGTGAGGATCTGTAATAGAATGTTCTGCATCCTCTGCAGTGTAAGCAGATGGGAGGATTTCTTTTTGTAAACCAGAATTTCACTTGTTTTTTCCTGCTATTGGACCAGAGAATCCTGAGGAGCCTCCAGATGTTGGCAGGCTTCTTCTCTAAATTCTGAGCCCATCTGGGAGTCCAGAGTGTTTGGTGTCGGGGAGAAGGGGGTTAATGGACCATGATGAAGAAGTGCGGCCTCATCGCCTCTCTCGGGAGCGCGTGTGTGTTTGTGGTGCGTTTGCTTCTCTTGCAGTTTGTGAATTTGCTCACAGCTGCTCGTCGCTGTCAATCTACCGGCTTAACCGTCTCCGGGACGGGTCCTGTGGGCCACCGCGGGCGGCGAAGATAATAATAACGACGTGCGGCAGCCTTCCCAGGAGGATGCTTATTGATGCCTCAGGCCGGGTCTATTCTATTCCACGCAAATTGCCCCAGGAGGCAACGCATGTCTGGGGTCACCCTCAAAGTACGGGGGAAATGGTAGGCTTGTAGTGTTTATTAGGGATTATCTCTACCAGAATTCCTGACACGAAACAATGAACTTGACCTGTTCTTACCTCAAACAGCATGGGGTCCCCCGCCCAAAAAAAGAAACCTGAAAAACAAAGCGGCCCGAGGTCTCCTACATGTTACATAGTTCTCTGAAGAAGGGGCAAAAATATAGGGTTCCTTCCATTGTGCCCCCTGAGACCCCTTATCTGCACCTCACAAATCACAAAATGAGTCTTTAGAATGAGGTGGCAAAAAAGTCTCCCGGCTTGGTGGAAAATCTCTGCTGGTATAAAATATTTACAAATAGTAATATTCAGAGGAAGGAAACAGGAAGTTGGAGTTGCAGCAGGACATTCCCTTGCTGACCCTTCTCATTGTCCCAGACATGAAGGAGCATAATTTCCAATCAAAGAATGTAACCCGTATCAGATATTTACCATTGGTACCATGGGATGACAGATGACATGATGAGACCGTTCCCCCAGCTGCCTGAGTCTCACCATCTTTGCTGGAGAGATTGAGCAGTCCCATCAAAATAAAGGTGGGGCTAGTACAGATGGGCTTTTCTAAGGTGGGCCATTCTAAGGTAGAAGATGAACCATTCTAAGATGGAATGTGGGTCATTCTAAGGTGGCTAGTGGGCCATTCTAAGGGAGAAGGTGGACCATTCTAAGGTGGCTAGTGGGCCATTCTAAGGGAGAAGGTGGACCATTCTAAGGTGGCTAGTGGGCCATTCTAAGATGGAATGTGGACCATTCTAAGGTGGACCATTTTAAGGTGGGCCATTCTAAGGTAGAAGGTGCACCATTCTAAGATGGAATGTGGACCATTCTAAGGTGGTATGTGTGCCATTCTAAGGTGGGCCATTCTAAGGTAGCAGGTGGACCATTCTAAGGTGGACAGTGCACCATTCTAAGGTGAACAGTGAACCATTCTAACGTGAACAGTGAAACATTCTAAGGTGAACAGTGAACCATTCTAAGGTGGACAGTGAACCATTCTAAGGTGAACAGTGAACCATTCTAAGGTGGACAGTGGACCATTCTAAGGTATAAGGTGGACCATTCTAAGGTGGACAGTGGACCATTCTAAGGTATAAGGTGGACTATTCTAGGGTGGACAGTGGACCATTCTAAGGTATAAGGTGGACTATTCTAAGGTGGACAGTGGGCCATTCTAAGGTATAAGGTGGACTATTCTAGGGTAGACAATTTACCATTCTAAGGTGGAAGGTGGACCATTCTAAGGTCGACAGTGTGCCATTCTGTTTGCAGTGTGTAATATGGTTTTATTTGAACATGAATGTGTGTCTGTGGTTGGCAGGCATCCTGATACTTCTGCATTGATTTGGGAGGGTATTTATGGGAACAGATGAACCAGACATTCTTGGCAACAACGAAGTCCAGGATTGGCCAGAACGCATTGCTAGGGAACACCTTTCTTCTCCTTGGGCATATAAAAGTTTTGAGGAGTGTATGGGGTGCCTGCTTTGTGACTTGTTCTGTGTTGAAATATCCTCAAGTCTGTTTTGAATGCACACCATAAATGATCAGCAGTATAAAGTGCTTTTCCACAGCCAACCTTTTTTTTGGATGTGGCTGGAGCAGGGAAAGGGTTAAACCCCTTTAAGGTTTATATTGGTGTCACCGCTGGGAAAAAAGACTCACTCTGTTTTTCCTGGAACTAAAAGTGATAGGAACATCCAAAATGTTACAGTTGTTTGTAGATACACTTGGTACATAGCGGAGCCCTTCGCGTGTCATCACACTGTACACACTGCAAACTTCTGGAACTTCTACCAAACTTTTAGCTCCGTTGCAGTTCCCGGCGCTCACCACCAGGTGGAGGGTTTCCTTACGCCAATATATAATTTATTGTCTGCACTTTAATCCCCAATCTACTTTTATATTTGTTTTGCTTGACCCTGTTTTTTATGAGCGCTTATTGTTCATTAATTCCTTATTCCCTTATTATCCCCAGGCTGACCTTTTATGCATCTCTTCCTCATCCTTGGTGACGTGAAGCTGCGTGTTTCAGCTCTGTCAGTAGACGGTAAGTTGTTATGTACCTGTAATCTGGGAGATGTCTGGATGCATCTTTTATCCTATCACAGTATTTAATAAAATCCTAAAGCCCACCATAGACATTAGAGAACGGTCAGACATCATCACATCACTAATTGACAAGAGGCATGAGGTGCGGGTTCACCACTACCATGGGTTGGAGATCTGTGGTCCTGGGGAATACCTGTGCAGATTTGCAGGAGATTTTTTTTGTCCTACAGTTGAACTATGGCCAGCAGGTTTAAGAAAATAAGGGGGCTCTTGGTTAAGCCAGACCCCTTACTAATAGCCTCTTAGCAACATGGGACGCTTTGGCCGGAAAGGAGGCAGCAGGTGTGTGTGTCCCCCCATGACCCAATGAGGTGCCTCCTCAACCTAAACCACCTCAGCACCTAAGGCTGCCTCAAAATAGGGATGGTACTGGGTATAGGGCATCTAGTGTCAGTGAATTATAAGCTGCCCTAGAGAAGGATTAGGGAAACTGTACCTAAAATTGCTAGCTCTTTGGCCAATCAATCCCTCTGCTCCCTTTTTCTTTTTTTTGCTCTTATTTTTAGGGACTTTTTTGTCTTTCCTTCTATTTTGTGGTTGATTTGAGGTCAGCGGTCACTTTTAACTGCAGTCCGTAGCAACAAAACCATTTTCTGCAAGGCTTCACTCTAAAAAAAAAAAAAATGGGATGGCAACATTTGGGGGTCTTCATTTCTTTTGTAGGTTTTTTTTTCTAAGTTGAGTTGCTGAGAGTGGAACATTTACTTGTTACTGACCATTTGTTCTTAAAACGGCCTTTTGTTTGCAGCACGCCTCGGAATCATTCCAAAGAATTAAATGTAAGTACGGGGCGCACTTAAACCACCTCACATGTTATCGCTCACAAATACAGGAGATGATCAGAGACTGCAGACATACTACAGGAGATGGACAGAGACTGCAGACATACTACAGGAGATGGACAGAGACTGCAGACATACTACAGGAGATGGACAGAGACTGCAGACATACTACAGGAGATGGACAGAGACTGCAGATACACTACAGGAGATGGTCAGAGACTGCAGACATACTACAGGAGATGGACAGAGACTGCAGACATAGTACTGGAGATGGTCAGGGACTGCAGACATAGTACTGGAGATGGTCAGGGACTGCAGACATAGTACTGGAGATGATCAGAGACTGCAGACATGCTACAGGAGATGGTCAGAGACTGTAGACATGCTACAGGAGATGGTCAGAGACTGCAGACATGCTACAAGAGATGGTCAGGGACTGCAGACATAGTACAGGAGATGATCAGAGACTGCAGACATACTACATGAGATGGACAGAGACTGCAGACATAGTACTGGAGATGGTCAGGGACTGCAGACATAGTACTGGAGATGATCAGAGACTGCAGACATGCTACAGGAGATGGTCAGAGACTGCAGACTTGCTAAAGGAGATGAACAGAGACTGCAGACATACTACAGGAGATGGTCAGAGACTGCAGGCATGCTACAGGAGATGGTCAGAGACTGCAGACATAGTACAGGAGATGATCAGAGACTGCAGACATGGTACAGGAGATGGTCAGAGAATGAGGACATACTACAGGAGATGGTCAGAGACTGTAGACAGATTTGACTGTAGCCTAAAGTCACGTTGCAGGAGAGTGCTAGAGATCACTGCCATTCCAGCCCCTTAGATCCTCTTGTTCACATGTATAATGGACTCTCTCCGATGCGCAGCACATCACCCCATAGAAAAGTCACGCAGGCTTGCACTGGGCCCTTTACAAGTGATCCTCCCCCCCTCCCCCCCCCCATACGTGTGTAACTTTAGAGCCGGTTATGTAAGCGAGCGGATGGATGTAACGCCAACCGACATATTCCGCAAGGCGCACAGCGAGCCGGCTGGCGAGAGAGGAACACATGTCAGTCAAATGACCTAGATTTGCACAAAAAGTAGTTGCTCTGTGGGGGGTTTTGGGCGAACAATTTCAGGGTAATTAGCAGACACGCGGCACAGTGAGACGGCACGCAGAGGGAGATGGGGTGGGGGAGGGGGGACGAGCGCTCTATCTGAGCTCTGTCTAGACACAACTGCTGAATTGTTTCCGAAAAAGCAATTGACAGTCCAGATTTCCTCCTGCTATCCGCTGGATGGGGATTTGTCGGAGACATTAAAAAAAAAAAAAAACCCACCAGAACAAATAACACGTCGGTAACCCATTCACCTCCGTATCGCACGCCGCTCACCTGCGCCTCGGCGGGGGGATTAGCCTGTCAGCTCTTTGCAAATTGCAGACGGCGGGATAATTATGGATGCTCTATGCGGCAAAATCCTTTGATAGGAGCCATCGGAGGCACAGAGATAGCACAACTTCCTCCCTGCCACAGGCAACCAAAATAGCAAGAAGGGGAGAGAGAGGGGAAAAAAAGAGTCTGCTGCAAAGACGGAGTTGGATTGCAGTTTAGAAAAGCGGCGCCATTTTGTTCACCTTGATTGACCCGTCGGATGTGAAAATAGAGCCGTTTGCGGAGGGCAGGGTTGCAAATTTGACGGAAGCCGACCCCCGGTACAGCCGCAGTACGCAGAAATATACGTTTCACCCATTTTATATCTCATCGGTCACACGGAAAAGGTTACAAGGATCGCCGATGGTTTTCATCCATCAGACAATTGTTTTTGGAATTTTAAAAAAAAACCCAAGTGGGGGGGGGGGGGGCGTGGGGGGGGAAAAAAA